CCCCCCCTCATCATCCATACGCATATACGTGCACGATCACCCACTCCCACTCCACATTTTCGTAACGCACGCCTGTCTATATATGTATATAGATATACATATACACGTTGCAGGAGATACGCTACGGGATGACAGTGCGAGAGTTATTCCAATGTGGTTTATACATGGTGGTTATAAAGTAACTTGGCTACTTGGAAATTGAATAGTTGCTGAACGGCTTGCCAGATATCAATGAAATTTATCAAGGGTGTTCGGAAGACTAACAAGTTTCCCCCTGAATTTTTATACATTTTTTAACAAATTTTCAATAAACGTCATTTATGAACTACAATTATCGAAGATTATTTCAAAACGAGCAAGTTTTACAATTTCCTGTGTGCTAAAAAATGTTTGCGACAATTCTTTTGTCAATGATAACGGGTCTTTCTAAATCCATCAACGTCGAGCTATTTAAAAAATCACAAGTTCACCAATGGGTTCCACGTTTACATTGTGACGAAGCTTAAATTTCAATAATCCCACGAAAAAAAAAAACTGAAGAATCGCACTAAGAGCATTACAGTTTATCAAAATGTTGTGCACGCAAATTATAGCACAGATAAATTCGTAAAAGCCCATTTCTGGCTGGATGCGGGATAAAAATTCATAATTAAAGCTACAAAATGACGATTGCGTAAAAATACTAATAGCTTTTATTTTATACTCAAAAAGAAAGTTATCAGTGCCCTGAAGACTCCTGATAAATTTCATTGAAATCTGACGAGTCGTTTAAGAGTTATTGAATTTGGAAGTAGGAAAGTTACTTTATAACCACCCTGTACGTTGCGACAACCCGACTCTTTTGAAAGGGTCCAAGAAATCCTTCGGAGCAGAGCGACAACGTGAGAACAAGAATGACTGGGAATAATATAGGATACCTATAGCCCTTAACATCATTGGTAAGAAGATACCGTCAAAATTCCACCCTCGCTTCTGGCCAAAAGGGGTGAATAGATATCCGATGCGAAAAGGACTCCTTCTACTACCTAACGAGTACTGGCACACAGCACACTAATAAAAAGATTAGGTGATACCAACAACTACCAGCAGCCATCACGGGAAATTTAGACCAATCGGAATATCTTAACAGATTATCATGGTCCCGATAAATGAATAAAGTTCCGTAATTATTTCGTATGTAAAAATCAGTATCGTGTAACATGCACTCCATTACATATGTATAAGAAGTAACAGTATAAAACAATAGCCCCGCAGCTGCTGTAAACTATACATGATAATTGGATGAAACAATTTCATGTGCTCAAATATACTACGTTAATTTGACCCAGCAAAATCATCTTTTCTGTGCACGATCCCTTCCCCCTCTGTCCCTTCAAGGACTGACAATAAGTAGTCGAAACTTTTCCACTCTCAAAGAACAAGAAGACGAAGCGAGAGGCTGGCATTGCTCTTGCCTGATAATTCCATGCAGCTTCCAGGCTGATCCTGTTACCTACAAGAGTCGCGCTGATTACTCCAAGAATTCTCGTCGACGGACTCGAATTCCAAATCCAGCCAATTCGCTTCGGACAGTTTAGATAAGATGACTCTGTCGTAGATAAGCGACGTATCTATGGCGGTGGGTTGGGGGAGGGGGAGGCGGGATGCTGCAGGGGTTGCACGAGAGGGAACTGACGAGTCTGCTGGATCATCCCGAAATATCCAGACGTGGAATCGAATTACAGGAGAAAACGGTAGATCCATCAGGGCAAAGGGCTGCCGACGGCGGCCCTTCGGAACCTTCGGAACTGCTTACAA